ATAATATTTGTAGAATGTCCGCGACCCACCATTATGAAATAATGGTTCATTTAATTTGATAACATTTTCTTTTTCTCTACGAAGTCAAAACATTATTCCACAAACTAAATCTTTTTTGTCTACGCTTTGTGTGCAGTTGTGTATTTGTATAAATCTTCTTGTGACCTTGACTCATCTCTCTCACTCGCCCTAACAGTTTGTGACAGATGTCCTTAGTCTTGCTCGTCCACTGACTGCTGAACGCCCAGGTCTTTCTCCAGACTCGCTGTCTCTCTCTCTCTCTCTTTCTCTCTGTCCTTTCCTCTCCTTCTCTCTGTCTCAGCATGTTCTGCTGGAGGAACAGAGATTCAGTTGCCATGGCAGCAGTAACTGACATCACTTAGCGTAACGGTGAAGTCAATGATAGTACCATCTCGCTGCAGACCCCGCTCACGGCTAACTTACATTTTACATGAGGAAAAACAATATCCGAGCTAAGTTGAGACTAGAGAGTCTGATGAACAAATAAATGATTTTATAACTGGTTCATTAGAAGACGAGTAGGTCACAAAACAACATGAAGCAAGTGCTGCCTGTAGTTTTATTTTTCTCTCTATTTCAGTGTCTTATTTGAAGCGGACTATGAAGTATCCACTACGCCAGGGACTTGCACCTCCTGAGCTCCAACCCTTTAGCTCCCTGACAGGATTGCATGCAGCCTCCAGAGGTGCAGGCCAGTGTCTTAGGCAGGGACATTTCTGTTAGCCACATGGACCACCTGCACCCTGTGTTTTATACGGGTCTGTCATCCCTCTGCTGTGTTTTCCCTGGGTGCTGGAAGGCAAATTACACCGCACACTAATATAAATCCTCCCCTCGCTCTGTTTTTCTCTGTCCTGCTGCTTTCTGTCCATCTTTGCTGGGAATTCACCCTTCAGCTCCCCTCATGTTGTCTTATATCTGTGGGCGTACACAAAGGAGCACAGCGGAGATACTGTATGTTGCAGCTTGAGTCATATCTCTGCCCGCACACACTCTGAGCTGCATGACTCCAGTTCACTGTTTCTCTGAGGTGCTTAGATAATGTCAGACAACAGCATGTACCGAGTGTGTAGATAAGGAACTTCCCTCTGCAGAGTTCAACGGCTGTGAACCCATATCTGGTTACATGTCTCCAGAAAGAATGCAAACAACTGGTCCTCTTTGAAATAAAATCAAAAATGTTCACATTGTTTTTGACATTGTAAAAAATCGTGATAACAACCATATCTAGCTGGGTTTGCATCCACTCAAATGTGTTGGTTCCTCTCTGCACCCACCAGGACTCCGACAGCCTGGATTCCACACTGACTAAAAACTAATTGCTGTATGCAATGGGTTAACTGTGAGACTCTCGTGTCTTTTTCATACCTCACCCTTGATGGAAGAGCCACATTACCCACCTTCTATCTTGATGTATTCTCTTGACAGCATCACTACAAAGCTGGAGAGGGCCCTGGAGAAGGTAGCACCCCTGCTGAGAGAGATCTTTGTCGACTTTGCACCTTTCCTATCACGCACCCTGTTGGGTAGCCATGGTCAAGAGTTGCTGATAGAAGGTATAGATGTTGGTTTTATTCTCGGAACTTCATGTGGCGTCCTGTCCCATCACCCTATTGTTGTCTGTACACTCCTGGCTGCCTTATTGATGGATGCATACACAGTGCATACTTGCTGCGTATTTTTTTGGTCTTCATGAATCATTTAAAATACATATTTTTAAATTCTGGACGTAGAATTTTTAACGTTAGTGTTCCACAATTTGAGGTTTTTGCTGTGATATTTTTAGCGTTGATATTTCTCAAAACTAAGATCACATTTCCAACCTGACTGCATGCCATTGTAGGAAAATATGAAAACTTAAGCTGTATTTATATTGGAAGAACAATTAACCTTTTTCTGTTTTCTGCCATAAAGAATTTTCTGCAGAGTTAGATCCAAAACCGCTCACATGGAAAGTAAAGTGAATTACAGATGCTTATAGAAACATTGTGATTAAAACCTGGCATCATGAATGTTGCAGCAATGACTTGATAATCTCCATCACAATCTCACAGATTCCCTTCAGGATTAATGTCTTCACTATAATACCCTGAACATTTTTATTATAAACTGTATTACATCAGCCACTTTGTATATAAGTTCTAGTCTGACTGGCTCGGCTGAGCTCTGTGTCTGCAGTAGTGTGTGATCCCTCTGCTGCTGCCCTCTGCCCCTCTCGTCCTATTTTCTGTCGGCTGTGTGGAGGCTCTTGGTGCCGTCCTCGGGCCTCAGGTTGGCAGCCACTCACAGGTCTACTTGTTCCCAACCTCAGGGACTCTGTCTGCATGTGTGGGCACTGCCACTCTCTGAGGCTTGTGCTGGCTCATATTCACAAGAACATAGTGCCACCACAACATGTGTGTGTGCGCACAGTGCAGAATGTATGTGGCCTCACTACTTGCAGTTTGAATCCAAAATCTCTCCTTTCAACTTTAAACTAGGCTGATATGAATTTCAGATGTTCATAGACTGACAGCAGACTGAGAGAATAACTTTTTGTGACTTTATCAAAGCCCTCTGACACAACATGTGCTATTTCCTGAACATAATTAATTTCTAGTATTTTATTATCATATCAAATTAGATTTTTAGTTTGAAATTAGCTCGCTTATTTTATAGCTGAATGTCAAATTTGAAGAACATGTGATCACTAAAAGCTACAACTTGACCAATCTCATTAATAAGCAGGATCTTATTTATTTAATATAAACCAACCTTGTCAAAAGCAATTGGTCAAATTGGGATTCAATTCTCTACAGCCATTTATAGGCCGTTTGAGAAATATTTCCATTCCAGTGAAAATTACACAAACAGTTTATTTTTCCTCGTCACATCATGTGTACACCATGTGTGTACATATGTAAATAGACGTGCCGTGCACATGTGGCTGATGCTACTTGCACAAGCTCAGAAAAATCAGGTAGCGTAGCCTTGACAAGTGTGAATATGTCTGTTACCCTTTCACTCAAAGTCTGTCAGCGGACTGACTGAGCTGACAAACCAGAGCCGAGCTGAGAGTGTAACCCCACAAACAAGGTTGCAGATAGACAGCTCAGGCCACAGCACTCTTCACCAGTTTAACCCTGTCTTGGTCTGTGAAAAGTGCATCCTGATGTGGATCATTGCACAGATTTACCGAATGCATTTTAATATTTTAGCTTAGTTGATCCACTTCAGTCTGTCCGAGTTGCAGTGTGCTGAACTAGTTGTGCTTGAACTAGTTTTGCCGTTTTTCCCTCTCTTTCTCTTTTTTATCCGGCCCTCCCAGGCTCACAGTTGGAATACTGTGCTGAAGTGCAAAGGCACTCCATTTACGAGTAATTACCAGCCATCCATCACTCCTTAGATTGCTCGGGGTCGAGCCCTCCCGTGCCCTGTGTGCCCCTTTGCCTCACCATATTCCTCCACCCCCCTGCAGACATGTGGTCACTGCAGCAATTATGTTGAGTGCACCCTGAGCTTTACACTTGGAGTTGGTGGGTAAGGCCTGTGTGTGAACACTGCTGCTGTTGTGATGCCTGCCGCCTGCTTCTTGCTGGCCCCTGAGTGGCCCAGCTTGCCGACACATTGCCCCACAATGCCACATTCACCCGTGCCTTAACCCTGCCCTGTTTACAGGAAGGAACTGGCAGGGCATGTTTAAATAGAATGCATTTAGTTTGTCTACCAGCACAAGGCCAGGGTCAGTTGGCCACCTGACTCCTGTGTCACACTGGACTGACTTATGGCTCAGCATGTCACTGCTATAACAAGGGGTCAGCCTTGGCACTCGGAGAGGATGTGGCCCATCTCTTGTACACAGAGCATTTACAATACACTCCCTCTGACAGACTGCATGAATAGAGATGGATGGAGAAGTAGTGACCACAAGCTCCATCCAGTGCCCTTAATATTTTATATTGTGTGTTGCAACATTCCCACAAGCAAAACTAAGTCCACTGAATGTTGTCTGGGTGACCTTTAAGGCCCAAGTGTTTCGGCCATAGACATCTGAGTTAAGTTCAAATACATAACTATAACTTTTGAGTTTCTTAACCTATCACAATTTACAAACACATCTATAATTCCCTTTATATACTCTGCTAAAGGAGTTATCATGCTCCTGTCTGTTTATTGGATGATTTCATTTGTCAGGGTAGCTACGCAAAAACTATGTTTTCTAATGACATTAAAAAAGAGAAAACAAAAAAAATGTCACATATCTTGAAAATCAGGCATATTTAGGAAACTGATTTCCAATAAATTTACAGAAAGATGCAGATACTTTTGTTGTCATTAAATTAAAAATGTAATAGAATTAGTATCACATAACGTATAAGTAACAACATTAGTATGTTATCATGCTACTGCTATTTTAAATAAATCCATCTTTGAGAAAAGTTATATATTTCCCAGTTTATACTTTTTATGGATAATACATATCTATTATAGATTTGTTATATATTCAGTGTGTAGCCCATACGCGTTTTTATAAATATATATTGCATAAATCTTAGATGAAGAATTAGTTGCTCTCTCCTTTGATTGACATAGTGTCATACATGAGACATGAGACAGCTGTGTAGCATCGACTTCTCCCTCCTGTTTATAATGAGTCCTGCAGAGTTGCTTTCCTTTTTACTAATGACTGCACCCTAATTGTTCTCGCCGAGTGCAGCAGAATGAGCTGGAGGTGCAGAATACGAGAGCGGTTGTAGCCATTGTCTCCGCAAATGAACTTTTCACACCTGCCCTTGTTTCATTAGAGAGAGCTGTCTTCTTCTGCGGCTCAGCATCTACAGAACGGAGATGAGGGAGGAAACTGTGAATGTGTGTGCTCACTTTGTGTTTGACTGCATGTGTGAAGATAGGTGTGTGAAGAGGGGTGTTCACTTTTTACATTTATACATCTGTTCTGCACACCTCTACTCTGTTGCAGATGCAAATGCCTGTTTTTGCATTTTTACGACAGGCAAATTGGGAGCACAATTTAGGGGCCTTTTCTAAATTGTATTATTGAAACCATATATATGTTAAATTATACCTTCAGATACTTTTACCCACTGATCTTTTTGGTTAATATCTGTTCATCTGCTTTGTCGCCACAGGTCTAGTGTGTATGAAGTCGAGCACTTCAGTGGTGGAGCTTGTGATGCTGCTTTGTTCTCAGGTGAGCCTTTTTTTCTTTCTCCTCCTCATCACAGCCCTTTCTCTCAGATTCTCTTTGTCTTCTTTCTCTAGCTCCCATCCTCTCCTCTTCCTCTGCCACGCTCCTCTTAATAACATCTTTCTGTCGGCATGCAGTGATCTCTTAGGAGATTCTTTCATCTCTTTTTGAATATAAACAACAAGAAATTGGACTATCAGAAATAGCTTTGCCAATAGTCCAATTTCATGCAGCTATAACTCACTCAAAACATATTTTAAATCACAAATAGATTCAGTCTTTATCCTGTCACAACTGCAGATGTTTTGTGTATGCATAAATTTAGGGTTAATCATTGGTTAAACTCTTAAAGGGCATTTGCTTATGACACATAGCACAAGTTGTTTAAATTCTGCAGGAGCTTAGCTTATCAGTGTATTCTTCTTGGAAAATATTCCATCAGCCAATTGTCCAAACCAGTGACGACATGCAGCCTCAAAGGTCTCTCTGAGAATCCAGCGACTTTCTCACTACACCCCAGAGCTTTAATTCCCAGCCCTCCTCGAGAGAACGAGCCCCACCTCGTGCAATGCTGCTAGTGACTGATCACCTCTGAGCTGACCCTCTGAATCTCTTGTTAAGCCCTTGTTTTAGAGAAGGTCAAAGCCCCAATGTAGCAGTTAGAAGAGAAGATATTTAACATACCTTCTGTCAGCCCATCAGTCTTGCATTGGGAGCCCATAAGGAAGCCATTACTTGGTGCCTCTTTGTGGATCCAGACTGCAGAGCCACAGCCTTGAGGAGGTGGATAGCCACTATGTGTGCTCGGCAGTATCCGCAATCCGAAGCCCGCTTCAGCAGGGAGCTCAGCCTCTGTTATATGGAGGCCATTATTCAGTGGCTCTCCTCCAAAAGAATGTACATAAATGTGGAAGCCAGCGCTGAGTTATAGTTGAGCTTTTCAAGGTTTTTGACGAACTCCTTTTTGTGCTGCTATTCTGTCTGTGGGAAGTTGCTTTTTCCAGATCTAGGATTTATTGCAGATGAGAGCGTCAGCGTGCTGTTAAGGGTTTGAGTCAACCCCCCCCCCTTTACACAGATAGCATTACTGCGGCTCCAGAGGTTCCTGCCATTAGGGACTCTAGGGATGAAACCCAGGCTGAGATATCGATCAGACAGTGGGAAGTTGAAACTGCACCATATAGCTTGATGTCCTCCTGCAACCTTTTAAACAGGGATGAGCCATTGCTCTGTATTCTTACACTGCACCATTGGTAATGAATCCAGTTATGTTGTCACCTAATATGATTTAAAAACCATTCTGTAATGATAGATCATTGATAATCGGTGACTTCTACATTATTTCTTTTAGGTGAAAAAGCTGATATTCATAGATCAGCTTTATTATGAGCAAATGTGTTTATTCTGACGGATAAGTATACTGCGTTATACTAACTAATAATGTCTTTGGTATCACACACAGTATCTGTGTGCTTTTAAAAAGAACAGCGACTCTTCTCAGATGAAGTGTGATCTTTGGCTGACATCACTATAAAATGCCAACTTCAACATATCCCTCCCATATTTCAACATTAATGTTTTAAGACAGCGAGGAGGGCATTTAGCTGACCTTTAGTCCCCTTCTGTTTTGTGACCTGTCAGTTTTATGAATAAATTAGTGCTAATGATCTGCCTTTTCTTATTTATGCATACTAATCACAGCAATCATTGTGCTGCTGGCCGCGGCTGCAGACACTGTGTGTCTCTCCTCATCTCTGGCAGCTGAATGAAAAGGTCAAGCAGCTCTGTTTCTTGTAACAGCTTAAACATACAGGGCGGGGGTCTCGAGTGGAGCCACAGAGATTTAGTGATGGAAGGCCTCCAGATGTGCAGAGCATAACAGAGAAAATCGCAGCAGATAAAAGCAAAGGCTCCCGCGCAGTGACAGGTTGGATTGAAACACCACAAATACTTGGTGGCCTGCTGAATTTCACAAAGATGGAAGTGGGAGGAGAGAACATCTTCTCAAGGCCAGCAAGCTGTTTGCTGGGATGGGACTTATGGTGTTTGAGGTCCACAGAAAGGTGGTGGATTTTTCAAAGATAGATGGAGGACTGGTACCATTGCCCCAAGTAAACTATAGCCTCATCCGTCACTGTCCAACGTTTTCCGTGTTGCATGTTTTGTCAAAGAATTCACAGCAGAAATTTACTAGGTTCTTCAGTTTCATTGCTCTCATTAACATTTTTTTAGGTTTTCAGCAGCTGTTTGTTTACAAAAATGTATACAAAGTGTTTAACAGTGAACACAGTGTTAGAAAGCAACCCGGGAAGTCATTTTTCTCAGGCATGTGAGGAAACTAAGCCTATAATATAGAATGAATGACTAGTAAACATACATGTCAGGTCTCTAAAATAAATGATGCTAAGGCTCGCAAGATTTTTAGTAGGCAGCTGGTTTTTATAACAATAATAAAAGGGGACAATATGATGTCACCCTGTTGCCCCTAAAGCGCCAAGAGCTAAATTATTCCAGCATTAATTCTCAGGTTTTCATATACAAGCTACTAAACAAACTTCCAAAGGCCAGAGGTGCTTCACTTTGGTCATGGTCTACATTTACATCAGGGATCACATCTCTTGAAGTAGGTGCATGTCAGACCTAATTCCCTTCAAATGGGCAGCAGAGGACTTTTTAAAATCCCTGCAATCAAAGGCAGCCTCCTCTGGGAGCTCTGTTCTCCAGTATGAAAAAAAAAAGCCAAGAAAAAAAGAAAGCCTCTGAAGTGCCTTTCTCAGCTGTCAACAAGCATACCCCAGACAAGATAGCAAATTTGAGTAGTTCATACTATACCTTCACCGACCTGCTGCCATTTCCCTGGCATCGCCCAAGTGTCACACCTGCCTTGATTTCCGTATTTATTTTTGTCACGTGAGCGTGGCGCAAGTTGAGCCTCGGAAGACTGGCTGTACATGATCCCTGTCCAAATCAAGAACAGCTTATTCCAGGCAGATACTGTAGCAGTGAAAGGGGGTCATGGGGAACATTTGGAGACCAGATGCTCAGCAGTTTGTCAGCACCATCTCCCTGACTTAACGCATCACAGGGTCAGGCTGTGTACTCTTGCATGAACCGGTATGTGTCAGGCAAGACAACTACGTACGTACAAAAACACATGCCCATACATAATAATGTCAATGTCAGTTATTCAGGTGCTTTACACAACAAAAGCTGCTTATCTTGCCCAGACAGTGACATAGAACAAGCAGCATTGTTTTACATGTATGACTACAGATTATACAGTAGCCTATATATCGGCATTAACCCTTTTGCAGGTAAATTAATAATTAATTAACCACTAGAATAGTCACATTCAGATGTTACTTATATATGTGGATAACGTTGAGTTGCAGGTACAAAGACGTTGGTCTGGAAATCTATTCCTTTCATATTCCCCTCCTCTTTTGAACTGTGGCCCTCTCTGTTTTCTCTTCCATTTGTACCTCAGTGAGGATACAGGAGAGCTGAATTTCCCACAGTGAAAGGCGCGCTCTCCAACTGCTTTTTAATCATTTCCAGAGCATGTTGTGAGACGGCAAGTGCTGGCACTCTGGCCCATGGCTCGGATCCCTTCCAGGCACACACTGCAGGGCCCGGCGAGCCTGCTCAGTAATCTGTCACTGTAAGGGACAGAGGAAATGGCTGTATTTAAGTGAGAGGATATAGTTTCATCCCACAATTACATCTCTCCTGTGTTTTCAGATATTTACACAGAGGAAGAAATGATGGTCACACATGTGGTGCTGGATTTCAACTTTTCATAGCTATTACTTTGTTTATAAAGGATATATTATAAACTAAATGCTTTCTTTACCTACTTGGATTACAAGCTGAGAAATGTAATCTAAATTACAGTTAAAAATGACATTTGGTTGCTGAAATGTGATTCCTGTGATGCATTTCTGAAAGATCGTTTTGCACAGTGGATCAAAAGGGTACTTTGATATTCATATTTTGTGTGCTTTGCAATGCTGTTGGGGAAAGTGCTTTTTTCTGTCAGTATTATGCTGCGTCTGTTTTCCAGTGAGTAAACTGGCCTTTTAATTTCAGCCCATAATCAAAATTAGGATGCAACGCTTTTGTCAGTAACAGATGAAAAACTCTTTGATTTCAGGAGTGGCAGAACTCCATTCAGAAGAACGCTGGTTTGGCCTTCATTGAGCTAATCAACGAAGGGAGGTAATGTAACCATTCATTTCTACATATTTTAGTGAAAATAACACAGCAGCAGTTTATGTGTCTCCTCTGTTTTCAGTTTGTGTGTTGGTTTTCTGCCCGGCAACAATAAAAAGCTGGTTGGATTAAGTGGCAGGACGTAGATTAGCTCTAAACCTCTTGCCCCTGTTGACTGCTCCCTTGGGGTTAAAAGCTAAATAAGACTGTGGTATCTGGATGAAGTAAGACTACCAACAGTAGAGCGGAGTCAGCTGCTTTTATTGGCTGCTCCATTATATCTCCGTCTGTTTCACTGTCCATCCCAGTGTTCGTGCTTCACTTTCTATTTCCCTCCCTCTTCCTCTCTGGGTGTGGCCAGTCTCAGGGATTTCCATCGAGCAGATCAGGGGCGGCTCAAACTCCTCGCCCATCTGCTGACCCATCTGCCCGGGCCCTTCCCTGTGCCCGGGCGCTTGTCTCAGCCCAGCCAGGCTTCTACTACCGTGCCCCCCCCGCTGGCCCTGGAACAAAGAGTTTCAGACGGCGGGGCCACACGGCGCTGTCCAGGGTGCTGCTGACAGATACACAATTTCCCAGTCAAGTCTCCGCACACCTGCTCTGCTTAACCAGACAGATCTAGAGGTAGTTATAGGCTGGTAAATCTGTTTGCCTTACAAGGCGTGGCTGACACAGACGCTGTATCTGCTGCGTGTGCAACAACACCTGCCGCTGGTAGTTGGGTGCCGTTCGTCTGTTTCATGAATCCCAAAGCCACTATCAAAGAATATTAATTCCCTTTATTAAAACTGTGGGATTGCTGAAAGTAAATGATCAATTTACTTTACTGTAACCACAGCTCCTGTTAAGCCCCTGAAAAACTGATTGATTGCTAAAAGGATTAGCTAGTGTTCGTCGAATGAGGAAAAACCACTGCGAGGTTCCCTAGGTATGTGGGTAAAATACGAGCATGTTGCAGATTAATTATGTCACTTTGTAAATGTAGCCTAAATGTCTTTTTAACATTTTAACCACTTTTAACCATATAAATGATGATTTTTGTATCATTTCTAATAATGGATTTACTTTTATTTAAACTACTTTTAACTTGTCACACTCCTCTCAGACATGTTTGTGTAAGTAATCCATGTGAGAGAACTGTCCCAGGTCTTCATGTTGAATCAGTATAGTGTTTACAGATTTGTGCATACAGCTCCATTTAGAGAGTGTCTAAAAGCTACAGCCATGACAGTGTCTTCACTCTTCTTCACTGGTGTTAAGATAAATATATGGTGTTTTGAGGAAGTGGAAAAATCTAATGATAGACAAACAAAACGTGTTAAATGTGATTGGAGTTGCTCTGTCATCACATTATTATTTTATTTCAGTCACTGGACATTCAACCTTCAGACCTGCACAACTGTGATTGTCACTGATTTTACATGGCAGCCTATGAACAACACAATCATATCATTTAATTCAGTCTATGGGTGATTATTGTATCGTATTAATTAGTGTTTCCTTTGTACAAAACTCCAAAGCAGAGGTGTTGTAGAGGATGTGCATGTTTTCTTTCCATTTCCAACTATCACTTGTCAACTTGCTTTCTCATCTATTCTTGGTTTGAAAACAAAGGTTGTCGTTGTGGGCCTCGCTCTTGAAACACTGTACGTCTGTCTATTAATGAGTGCTTGTCAACAGTTAAAGAGGCAATAGCAGCTGATGAATGCAGCCTTGGGATTAGTGCCTCTCCTTGGGACAGGAGGGAAATTACAATCTGTATCAAGCACTGGAGAGGAACAGGGGCTGCTTTAATTAAAACAAAGCTAGCCTAATGGTGTGTAAAATGGCATGTAATCTACACAATGGCCAGGGTGTTTTCCATTATTAAAGATATTGGAAATTCAATGTGAATATGGGTGTAGACCACAGAGCGTCTAGAACCAGCCATGTGAGGAGTTATCCAGACTTGTCAGCAACACAGGCGCCCGGGTTGATGTTCTGGTCAGTGGGAAGCGATGCTCAGTCAATCAGGAACGTGCCAGACAGGCTTCGATGCTCTAATGACACTCCATTCCCTCCTTAATGTTACAGAGGGATCTGTCTCTGACCTGCTGCCGTGCACCATAACACAGACAAATGATACTGTTTACTAGTGGCCTCTTTCAACAAGCACAATGTAGCACGACAAGCTATATTGGCTTCAGACCTGCTCCGTCATTACTGCAGGTTTTGGCCAATGGAAATAATATGTTTTCTAATTGATGATTAATATGTATGTTAGAGTGCCTCATTAAACTTTGTCTGCAATGTGATAGGTTGCTCTGCCACGCCATGAAGGACCACATAGTGCGGGTCGCCAATGAGGCTGAATTCATCCTGAACAGACAACGAGCGGAGGACGTCCACAAACACGCAGAGTTTGAGGTAGTCGTCCTCTCCTTCACCTGAAATTACACATTAAAGTTGGAGCAAAGAGTCACAATTTTGTACAGGAGAGAGTATAATTGGCAACGATTGTTTTACGTCACCGCTTCGACAAGGTCAAGTTTTACAATTTGCTTTGAAAACGGATTATTTTTTGTGTCTCCTAATGAACTCTAAACAAATTACGCTCACATAAAACAGCCATTAGTTTGTAAATGTAAAGTAATCATGTTCCTCCGTGTCCTCGTGAGAACAACTCACCCGTCCAGCTCTTATTGAGTAATGTAATTACTGGTAGCAAAGGGGTATGCCGGCAATATTAATTTAGGATTGTGACATGAGTTTTTGCTGACCAACTCTGGGGATGTAGTCTGGATGTAGCCCACCCACCCACATTAAACCAGTCCTGTTTCAGACAAGAAAGGAAAAGCCACTGAGGTTTCAGTAATGTGTGGATGCAAGGATTATTAAGCCTTTATTTTCTTATAATTATTGTCCTTAAAGAAAGTAACGACAGAAAAATATGGACTTTTTATTTTTCATTGTAATCTAATCAACAAAATAGCAGATTGAAAATAATAAAAACATTAAACATTCTATAAGTAAAAGTAATTATCTTTGTATTTAAATAGATGATTGTGGTTATTGTAGAACATCAGACACACCCACACACATATACGTACACACATGTAATGTAATCACACAACCCTTCACACCCACACTTCCGCTGCCTCTGTTAGCAGCTTGTACATGTGTGGAGTGATGAGTTTCTTATCTGGGGAAAGCAGCCATCCTCAAACAGCTGCTTGATATACAGTTCTTGAGGATCCTTGACCCGCTAGATAAACTGGATGAGACGGCTAGATATGCAATGTCAGGAGAAGGGGGAAGTGTACCTGGCCCCATCCGTTCTGTCTGTCAACTCCAGACAGTCTACACTTTTCATCTGGCTCTGACGTTACTTTATTACCCGCTCTCCAGGATTGAAGATTCACGACGCAGATAAGACATTTTTACAATTAAGTTGGTGTCAGGGCGAAGCATCATACGCTTTAAAGTGATAAATAACATTTGATATTTGTCACAGCATCTCATGGTAACACGGGGTGACAACCTGAGATTGAGTTATCCGCCCTATGAAGAATATGTTGAAGTATAATATCTGACAGAATTCAAATTTGAGGCAGGAAATTCGATTAACTTCCAGCTTCTGTTAGCAAATTAGATTTTGAATATTAGCAGGAGTTTCCCCCCCGGGTGGCACAGTGAGACGAGTTAGATTGGAAATTCTGGATGACTTTTAGCCACCTGGAACGCTCAGAGAGTTGTTCTGGCTTCTAGAAATTGATTTTAAATTATAATTTTTCACATTTTATCATGACTTTTTATCTGACTCTTAAATATTTACTCAAACAGTATTTGGACCATTGTATTTTGACAGAATTTTTAAAAAATATTTGCAGAATCATCAAAACACTGTGTTCTATGGTGCTTTTTGTTCAAAAAAAGGCTCCATATTTATTTAATGCTCCCTTCCTATCAGGCAACAGTAACATATCCCCTGCTATAAGAGCAGTGTAGCTTTTGAAACCTTGACAGTCGATGTTCTTTGTGGATATATTAGAGTATTTCCCCTTCACATCTAATAGCACCATCCACGTATCCCTAGCAGGGAGCCTCATCTGTCCGCAGGAAGGGAATGGGCTGCCTTCATGCGCTTGCCATGATTTACTACACTCCTCCAAGGGAGCAGAAATATATCTCTCAGCTGTCCACTAATATCTTTATGCACTCAAGTGTGTTGAATGAAGCAATAACATTTTTCAGAGTGACAAATGCTCCATTAGAGGGTATATATTCTGGCTTTATTCAAGTAAAACATTCTCTAATGCTATTAGCACAATATCAGATATCACTTTTGGCAGTGGGTACTGTAGCTAAAGCCATTAATATACAATAAGGCTCATACTATGTTTTTCTTTTGAAATTAGTCCAACAGCGCCCAGTATGCTGCTGATAGAAAAGAAGAAGAGAAGATGTGTGACCACCTGATCAGTGCTGCTAAACACAGAGACCACGTGACGGCCAATCAGTTGAAGCAGAAAATCCTCAACATCCTCACCAACAAGCACGGTGCCTGGGGGACGCTGGCCCAGAGGTAAGCTCTTACACTTCGACACACAAGGAGCAGGTTCAGTCCAATGTGGGCCAAGTTAAGTCTTTATCGTGAACCATTGCTGCTCTGTGTAAGGTCCAACCAAGGGGACTAAAGTTACCTGTTCATGAAAACTCTGCAGTGATGGGACAGGACCACCAGTTAATGTCATTTTCCCAGGATCCGATAGGGTCAGTGATCGGGTCAGCAAACGCAATTACAGTGCGGAGTGGCTTAATCCCCTGGGGACAGCTGATTGGCCAGTCGTCCGACATACTGGGGTGGAAGAAGGGGGTTGGGGGTGTTTCCACAGTGTTGTCCAGGCATTCATTGACCCTCTCAGTAACACAGCACAGCACCTGGTGTTAGTTGCAGACTTCCCCATGGGCCCTGTTAAAATAACTGCGGGCTCTCCTCTACCTCTTACCTTCACCCACATGGTCGCACACATACAGAAGTGGAGCTGCTTATATCAGAAGTGTTACAATGTACTTTGTATGTTGTACTGAGCGTTAAATTCTACAACATTTAATCTATTGTTTTAGGTGTAACAGCATACATGCAGTTGCTATAAAGACAGAATTGTTCATCTTCAGTAGAAGCTTGCAGGGGAAGCTTCAGTGGGGTTTATTTTAAGACAAATATTTGTTTATAGAAAAGATACAGACAAGATGCAGGTGCATTATTTTACAGTAACAAAATAAAAACAAGAATGGTACTCAGTAGACCCCATACCTCCACCCAGGCCCACTAGTCTCCTTTAATCCAACCAATCTAAACATGCCTGATGCTTTTATTGTCAAAATCCATGAATTATTTCCTGGGAAAACAGTGGAAATGTAAAAAGTAGCCCTGTCTCATAAGGGTAAAGAAAGTGATGACACAATTCCCAAAACCGTCCCCTGTTCTGGATTCACACCAAAATGTACGAGGTCTGTCCCTGACCCAGACCACATCCCTCCACTAAGTTTCATGTAAATCTGTTCTGTAAACCAGCAAATGGACAGGGGTGGTCCAAACTATTTTATGTGTGCTGTGAGCTGTATTCAGCGAACGTCTGGTTCTGTAACACAAACCTCCACTGCTGATTTGTCAAAACCAATTTGGTCTCGTTGCTGAAACAGTAGCCCTATAGTTTTGTGTTCAGTTTTTGAAAATACACTGCAGATGTTAGAGCATGTTTGCTAAATTTAGGTTTCTTTCATATTTTGTCAAAAATATTCTAGCTGGTCTGATTAATTCTTGCAGCTGCATGGATCTTTGACTTGAAGTGACATTCAGAGTTTCCACCCAAGTAGCAACATTTGGTTTCTTTTCTCATGGCTTTAGGAACGATAATGAACCGTCTGTTTACTTTATAATGATGTCTACATTTTGGCTTTATCCACTGTGTCCCTTTCAATTTCTAAGAGCCCATTCATTTGTGGTAATTTCAGAATAGATGCAGAGAAACAAAACATGGACCAAAAATATATCTAGTATTGTAAAAAAAAAAAAATACTTTGAGTCTGAGGAGTCTACAGTGTCCAAGTACAGATTTTCATAAAACTGACTGAATCTCAGTAGCCCATGACAGAATCTGTTGGATTGAATTCTGGGCTCTTGTTCAAATATTTATGGAGCCCCTCTCAGAGGCGAAGCATTTGCATTGAAACAAAAGGTTATTGAGCGTGGGTGCATTGTAAATGATACTGCAAAACTTCCAACAAATTCAGATTTAATGGTAACCTGCTGGTGAAGAAAAATGATGCAATATGCTCACGAGCTCAAGGCAGTGTTGCAGTTCAACAGCTTAGTCTTATTCAATGCTACATTAACTTTCCCATTTATGCTGCTGTTGTAAAATATAAAGCCCTCAAGCATTTTGAGGTGGCTGTCAGTGTGTCTGTGTGTGTGTGTGTGTGTGTGTGTGTGAGACTTGTTAATGTTTGTTTTCACCCCCATGCACAGAAATTGCTTTGTCTTTTACTCGAGTTCAAGTTCTGCCTGGAGACACGCCGTAGGATATTTATCATTTGTGTTGGATATATTATCAACATAAATATTTGTAAGCCGTTAGCATTCAGAATGTGGTATAACTTATATATTTATAATTTAATTTTTTACCATTGTTTGTTTGCAACTGTGTGCAACTGCCTGCTCTGCCACTAGATGCATCCATTTTGACATTTTAAAATGTTTAGCATCCCCAGCAAGGATAGAAGAAACCATTCATTTTGAGATTCAGGATTCTTCTTTTCATTTCCTTTAATATTGTGAAATATGTTTTTGGACATCTGATTTCCCAGGGACTAGTCATGGGTCTTGATAAAAAGAACCCTTCATTTTAAATGACTGATTTCTATAAGTTTGTGCAATTTGTCGCAGCTTGATAGAATTCAAGTGGACGATTTGTGTCCATTCTAGTTCATCCCTTATTTTACCTGGAGGGTCCCACTGAGATGCACTATGATTTCTGCCTGGTTGCTGTGGTCAAGATGGGCAGCAATGGAATGGAAACAGTTTCTATTAGATACCAGCAGGATCAGATAAAACAAAAAGACGTACTACAACAGATCAAAAACACAAAACAGACAGAAACATAGGAACTGATGGCAAAAATGCATTATGAAAGATAAATAGCACTTGATTGAACAATTGATTTTAAAAGGTTTTTAAACATGGCACGAGAGGGCAATAATTCCAAATTTAAAACATCTGCAGCTTATTTGAACCATTTGGTGCATGAGCAAAAGGCAGATTTACCCAGCTCTGTTTGGATGGCCGGGATCCTAAGGAGAATTTTCTCTAGATAAGATTACGTAGCAAGACTGGAGACAAAACACTTGCTCAGTAAAGCTCTTGAAGTAAAATTACAATATGGGTTTGGTCCATTGAACCAATATCTGAATTCCAGGGCCGCTCTATTGTGAGCGTCAATTCTCTTTATGGAAAACAGTGTAAGAACTTGCGTGGCAGCAGAAACAACAACAACCGACAAGAAAATAATCTGTTCAAGGCTCCAAAACAGCTGCTCTGCAGTCATGTGATCTGAGTGAAGAATAAGCAGATCAGACCCTATGTTGGCCTGGTGGATCATACTATATGCTTGCCTGATGATGAATGCCCCCCTGTATAGAGTCAGCATAGGAAAATCAATACTCCTCAAATTGAAACAGTATAGGGTTGTATTGATCCGCTGTGCTAAATCAAAACGAGGAGGCTTTGATACATCTCTCCGAGACAGCTCCCTGCCCAGTAATGACACGCTATCAATTTTAGCTTTGCACTGATAAATCAAGTTGAAAATTGGATGTCAGACTTTTTTTCATGTGGAGAGTGATTTTCCCTGCCCTCTGGTCCCCTCTGCTGTTGACCTCTGAACCAAGCCAGTGGATTATAAAGTTCAGGCTCGTCTAAAGTGAAAGTAGATGTCAAGGCGTAGCTGATAAATTCGTTGAAGAAGAATAATGCCCGAGAAAGACCCCCTCACGGTCTCCGTACTGTAAATTCTCTCTCGTTTTGCAGCTCTCACACGACAAGACTCTGCTGAAGAGTAAATTAAGCAGCAAATGTTTGTTTCTTGCAACAAAAATATGGAAATCCTCAGTTTAAAATACTCTGTCAGATTGACTCAGTGGTAGGTTCACATGCCAACGATAGTTTTGTCAAATAATGAGCTTTTATTCCATTATCTTCTCCACAGAATCTATTTTAATACAACCGACAACAAAAATATGATGCTGAAAATGTATGTTTATTGGAGTTTGAACTATTTACACATAGATCAGTTAATAAAGTCGTACAGAGACGCTGCTACATATTATTTACAATCTGAACTTGTGAATCACTCTCATCTCGTTCTCCAGCTCTCCTCTGGTACTAATTGTTCCGACACCATCAGCCTAACAAAATTGTAAAAGGGGCTGAAGGAGACAAACCGCCCTTTGTTCCCGGGCGGACGTCCATGTTCACATCAGCAGCATCAGTGACAGCTGACGGAGGAGCCTCCTCTGGCCCCCACAGCAGACCTTAACCTTACCTGACTAGTCTATTGATTGTCAACATTTCTTCTGTATAATTACTTTTTTCGGAGCGGTTGAGAGAAAGGAAAATGGCGGCGCGTATTGATCTGCGGCAAGGCAGTGAAACAGCCGTTTCCCTTGACTAACAGTGAGTTTCACCTCTCACACGTGATGAATGGTAACAATCCGCCGTGGATAATAACTTTGTGATGGAATGAACCTTTTTACCCACGATATGCCCGAAGTATTCGGTCTCGCCTGAAAGGGTTATCAATTCTAATAGACGTCTTCGAGCACAAAAGGGGGAGCACCTTTAGACGGCCTCGTAGCCTCAGAGGGTTCAAGGTCTGGTGACCCTTCTGAGGCAGAAGAGAAAGGCCAAGGTCTCTGGTGGAGCCTGACTGTATAAACAAAAATCAGCCTGGAAGGGTATCAGGTATAATTCAAACATTTGATTCACTTTGACGTCCAGAGGAACAGAATGTGCGTCTTCTTTGCTCCTAGTTTAAATGCTAACATCCTGTGTATTCCGTTATTGACATATATTTGTTCAAAATCAGTATGATTATAGTATCATTCGGTAATTCTAGAAAATCTCTATAACATTGGTGAACCTCATTGTACCAACATTTTGCTGTGGTTAACATGCAGACTTCAGAGGTTTCTACTCTGCCCACTCCAATAAAGCTAAATCCGTTTGAATGTACAGACCCTCTTTCATTATTTTAGCCCACTATCTCAATATCTAATTCTTCATCCAGTACAATCTTATTAACAACATGATGCTGCTTTGTTCTTGCAAGCTGATATCCTCTCAACCAGCACTTGTCCCTGACCTACGCCGAGCTCCATTCCCTTGAGGTCTGCTTAACCTTGCACACTGTGCTAATTATCTCTGGAAAAACGCCCATTCACACAATCATCAATTTCATCGGGCACTGAAATAGAGCTGGGCATCGCCCCATTTCCGATGAAAGATGGAGGATCCACGAAATCTGGCCGTGCAGAGGAGTTCACCTCCGCGTACAGTGCAGCTCCTCATCCCTCGTCTGATCGTGCGCATGTCTGTCTTCATTACGCCAGATGACCTGGAGTTAATCTTGTTGCTGCTGTGTTGCTTCCCTTTCGTCTTTGTCCAATAGCCATTCCTCAGCGTGTGTCCTCTCTTATTTCTCAATCTACAAACGAAATGTCATTCCCAGTAACTAGAAGCATTTGGATCTTAGCTTGGTGTCCTCATGTCTGAAGCCAGTGTTGAGTGTAGTGATGATAAGAAATAGCGGAATTACAGAGATGAAAGTCTTGTGTACTGTTTGTGATAATCTGATCATGATGTTGGCCATACAGTCACTTAACACTTGGCATTTGACAGACGCATGATCAATCCTGATGTATTTTCATAGGGGAAATCACTGTGTATTTTTTTTCTCTTAGTTTATAGGTTACTTTGAAAGTAGTGGACTGAGATCACCATATGGTTGCCAGTCTTCACTTTCTGGTGCACAGTGTACTTTTTGTTGGTATTCTTTTCTTCATCTCGCAGCAGTATATAGAAGAATGTGGTGTTAAATGCACTGGGTGACAGAAAGTCTTTTTCTATTTACCCCCTTTGGATTTTCAAGTCTTCCATATTTTCTGATGGTTGTCATGACTTAAAGATCTGCATATATCTGGTTGTCATTTTTATAGTATCACTCGTTTAATGACAGTAATATCTTTGGTCAAATGAGAGGTTGCGTCTCAAATTTTAATACAGAATATGAGTCTGGACAATTTGGGCAGGTTATTATAAATGTAGGTGTATATATATTTTATTGTCAGTTTATACATTTTCGTCATTTTTTGTTAACATTGCTACACTTAGGGTTCAGCAGCATTTCTGCTTCAAACAAATTCCTTGTGGTCTTTTTAACTCCTTATCCGAGTCAGTTACGACAACTGAAAACTTAAGAAAAGGCCACTTGTCCTCAGAGTTCCGTGTGTGTGTGTGTGTTTGTGTGTGTGTGTGTGTGATAGAAACCAGTCACCATGTCTGTGAATAGAATTGTCACTGATTACGGGTATTTATTATAATTACCCCCTGCTCATGTCACCAATGGAAGCTTTTAAAAGGAGTATAATGGTGTTTTATTGAATCAGCATGTCCCTGTCCTTTCTCCCGGCTGCCTCACTCAAATGTACTCTGAGCATAAATAGAATAAAAGGGGGAATCTTTAACCATGAGACCCTCGTCTTCCTGCCGTCTGTCCGTGTTAGTGTTTGAGTGCATTATTCTACTTCCAGTGACCTGAAAAACATGAAGTTAATTCTTGCTATTGACAATAAATTGTTGTATAATTTTATCTTGGGATTTTATTTTAAATCAAGGGATTTTATGCAATTTGCAGCATGAAGAAAATGCAGGAATTTGAGGATCAAGCCCAAAGTTACTCTGTAATGTATATCTTTAATTAGCTTATTATTTATACAATTTATATAACCTGAGCATGAGACAGTCTTTTCAGCTGACAAGCAATCTCAAACGGGCAACTTTAAATTTCAGCCCGAATGATTTATCATTAGCTGATAAAAAACGGCCAGTGCGAAAAAAAAGTTCCCCCTTTTACAGGCTCAAGTTTATCCTTTGCCTCAAACACTGTTCTCCAAATAATCTGACAAACTATGAGGAAACAAAACAGGGTCTCTAACAGTAGCACTCCCTCTAACTCCAATATGAGCCGTTGTCAGCTGTCAAAAGTATCTCTCTTTTCTAGAATGATGATATAGTTTCCTTTCCGTTCTCATGCCTTTTATTTTTATTTTCCTCCCCATCTTTTTTTGAAATTTTCTTGTCAGCTTTCTCTTTTCCTTTGACAAAACAAAACACATTCCCTGCAGACGGGGGGGCGGGGGGGTCTGGCACCTCAAAAACCTCAACGCTGGCTCCTTGAGGAAAGACGTGCTTTTAATACCTATTTGAAAGAGAGGAGAATAGATGATAGTCCTCTTACACATTTATCCTACCGCACTTAGCAAGTCTCGAAGTGTCCATAAATAATGGTGCTCCTGTTTCCTGTAGGTTATCAGTGCTGGAAAATTAGCTTTTAAAATGCGGTTTGAAATCCATTTGGGTGATTGATGGGTGACAGGACTAATAAATTTCGCTACTTTCTAGGAGGCCGGCTTACAGCCATTCTTTATGCTTGTCATGAAGCCAGACACATCTGATGTGGAAAATAAGGAGGACTCGATCAAACTCTGCTTAATAAAGAATGTTATTGGATGGACAGTTGGTACACAGACGATACAGGCAGCCAGATTCCTATTAATATTCTGAAGCAGGAAATGTGGTTTATCACCGATACTGAAAATTTATTGTCTGTAGCCTTGGAAAATGTACGGATCTCAATTGTTAGCTTTAACGGTAAATGGCACAAACGTGTGCCGTTAAATGTCTTGCTGGTTCCTCATTTCCCACAATGCTCTTAAGACTTGGATGAGCTTTTCATGCAACCTCACAAATCCATTGTGTGAGAGCTCAATAGCTGCAAACTATAGAGATCTAAGTCAAGAGTGTGTAGTCCCTCTGTGCTCTTTCTGGACCACCCTCGGAGAGGTGGTTCCTTCAGCACGGCACTTTGGCGCAGTCCAAATCCGGTCTCGCACTGACCACATAGTCTAGAATATCACAGGTCTTACTCACGCAGCAGAACACCACATTCAAACTGAAACCATCTGCACAGGACCAAACAAGGGGAAGAGACGTCAAAACGTTACCGACAGATTCATTAATCAGCCTTTGTAACGTGAATGTTACGTTTGTAATGCATTTGATAACTGATTAACTTTAAATGGTACACAGATGAGCAAACTCCTAAGCAGACCAAATAAAATGCACCTAATGCCGTTAATACTGTTATAAAGAAATCTTCAAAGTGGCGGATTTATCCCCCACTGGCATCTTCTGTCTGTTTGCACGAGGAATTAGGCGACATAATCTTCAGCAGTAATCGCCCAGTTGCCTACAGTGGATTTACATTTTTCACACTGTGTAATCTTGTGTTTACAATATCATTTGTGTGGGTTTCTCCTTTCCACCCACTGACATCTCTCTTCTCCTCCGTTAAGCTTTGAGGGAGATTGACAGGGGACAAGCTCAAGGCGTTACGGCTTGCTTTACATACAGCAGCTCATGGTACTTTGTGCATACGACGTACACACGCACACACTCATCACGCTGAATTTTGAGTGATACTTTACTGAAACTGAGCTCTTGTTGCTGTCAGAACCCAGCTAAGTCTCCTGAGCCTCTTGATTTCTGACATTTGTAGATATTATATTCATGGAGCAAGGAGGCTGTATTTTGTGATGTGATCCCCAGTAACACTTTAATCTGTTTAGACTGCTTCAATACTGTGGCAGGGACGGGGGCAGAAACCATACAACGAAATCGACGGCTGCTTGCCAACGTCTCCCTGTATCCTGCACACGCTAAAGTCTCTGCTCTTAGATTTGGACACACAACACCAGACTCTTGGATTTGTTTGGAGGCTCCTTCTAGTATTTTTGTTTACTTGTGACATTTTACATATCAGCATAAAGAGATCATCCTCTACCTCATTATATTCTTCATATTTCTGTATTTAACAGCAATAAAAAAACAGATGAACACAAAATGAAGCTGAGTGATGCCATATTTTTCAAATGAGAAAATGAACCAGGCTGATCATATCTGTCAACTGCACACCAATCATTTTTTTGAATCATCATTATTTTCTATGTATTACTCTTTCATGTTAAGAGTAAAAATCAAAGCAAGACTTTCTCTTTTTGCTGCATTTCCCTTTAAAGGAAGCACAAATGCTTTGAAATAGCTCCAGCTAGTGCACAGTTGGACCAAGCAGCACTTAGTAACCTAATGCTAGTCCTGGTGCTTAATGGTTTGCATTAGCTGCAAGCAATAAAATTATCCCAGGTCCTCACTAATGTTGGAATAATCATTTACAGAGATGGTTACCACATGCTGGAACTGTTTTTTTTCTCTTTCTCTTTTTTTACAACTCTAATTCGCTGTTATTAATAATGAATAAAAATGCAATTTTCTGTCGGGTTGCTCCGGGGCTCTGAGAATCATTTCAATGAATATTTCAACACATTATTTTAATCATGGCTCCACATATGCAGGAAGGGGAGGGGGCTTGTTTTATAGGCTCATGCCTCAACCGGCCCCAAGACCCCGATCATTAAACCCCACGCTGTCTGCGTTGAGGTTTCTACCTTTGATTTACAAGACTTGTTAAAAAACATTGTAAAAAAGGAGGCAAGCTGTGCCATTTATACTTGTAATTTGATGCTGTATTTGTTAATGGGACTGCCTGTGATTTATGTGTGCGGCGGCTGCTGCTGCTGCTCCCTGCTGCTCTGATGCTATAGGCTCCAGTAGAGGTAACATTACTGGGCCTCTGCAGAACATGCCAGTCGTCAACCTAATAAATCCACTTTCTGTGACCTGATTGTTCTTCTAAAGATGTTCTCTGATAAAGAAGTGGCTGCTGTAACTAGACTATAACTGAGGAGTGCGTGCTCTGTCTAACCTGCCTCTTCTCTTGTCTCTGCCATAGTCAGCTGCACGACTTCTGGCGTCTGGACTACTGGGAAGATGACCTGCGGCGGAGGCGGAGATTTGTTAGAAACCCTTCTGGCTCCACCCACTTAGACATCACGTGCAAGTCACTGCAGGAATATGGTGAGATGATCATTTTTGTTAATAATCATTTTCAACCCATTATGAGTATTTTAGAAGAAGGCTTGTGCATGTAGTTTAACATATTGCTTAGGATCTGTTAAATGTCATTTTTACAGGTAACATATTTATAGGTTCTGTGAAGTGAACATGACACGTCTATTTTATTGCACTTTTTAAAATGTTCATATAGATACATACTCAGGAACAAATTGGATCTCTCCCTTTATCGCTTTCTCCTCTTTGCCTGAAACTTTTTCTATTGACCCAGGCAGTCTGTAGTGTTGCCCACCACCTTGTGTCAATTCTGCCTTATGTCATGCAACACCAAATTTTAAAGGAAAGCAGCTTGGTGCTGTTAAACTCTCCCTCACACTTGTAATTGAATAACAGAGCAAATGTAGTCAGGGTGAATGTATTGATTTTGAAATAAATGAAGTAAGCACCTTTTTAAATTTATAGGAAATGGAAAACAGGCAAAGCATTATGGTCAGGCTTGCCTTTTAAAATGACTGTACACTTACAGCAACACATTCATAATGAGCAAAATGCTCACTGACGTCATGCGTGTCTCGGTGCTGAGCTACAGAAGCTGACCGTTGGCTGCGTTCAGGATGTCATCTGGCTGCTTTCAGCTCCGGCGCTGCCATGGCTGCTGTATGAAGATCATGGCAGCTCTGCAGATGAACACATGCCAGCTGCTGCCTCAGCTGCAGGTGGTCCATACATGAGACACACATGCAGTAATTGCACCTTCTGCTTTAGATTATATGGCGGTTCCATTATTTTCAGCCTTAAGCTAATTTTGTGAGCTTGTGGTGACGCAATGGCTCTGTTGTGAGGAGGACTCAAGTAAACAAAAGTTCCAGCTTTAGAGCTCAGTTTAGAAATATTTACAGTCTTTAAAATCTTTGGTATTACCAGCAAAGGTATTGCATTGGATTGCATCAACATTGCCAACCTATAAATACCAGTAATCCTGTAAAACATATCAGAACATCATTAAAAAATACTCTCAAACCGTTTCTGCGGAACAATCCACCCCAATGTTCATCCACACTTTTAAAATGCTGCAAACTGTCTTCGCCTCTCATTATGACAGTCGTTATTGCTAATTAGTACAAGGCTTAATAAGCTCTGACTATCATTCAATATATGATGTGTTTTTCACACTTACACATTATTTTTTAAATTCATATTATCACTTTATTTTTTTTAACCTCAAAATACATTTAGTCCCATTTTGGAAAACATCCCCACAAATACTCTACTTCTAACTGATTTTTGAAGCATATACGGAGGTCATGGTGCAACATAGAAGTGGTGTATTTTAGGAGTTGCTGGAATAAACTTGGTGGGAACTTTCTCATATGCTGCAACCTCTGTGAGCGTTATTCACATGACATTTTCACTGACAACAGAACCAACGGGTGTCATCAAAACATCCGATTTCAACCCTCATTACTCCCTGCAACAGTGCAAACCATCCAAATTGTCCAAAAACTTAACCATATACCAAATCCATGCCAAGCAGGCTTTGGTGAATTCTGTCCATGTAGCGTCTGCAAAAAATTCAGATCTACACACAGTGGTGTGGTGATTAGCACTGATGCCTCACAACAATAAGTGGCCCAGAACTGCCCGTCGGCTGGAGCCTTTCTCTCCTCGTGCTTGTGTGGGTTTACTGCAGGGGATTTGTCTTCCTCCCACACTCCATCGACATGTGGCTTAGGTTAATTGGCAACATTAAATTGCCCATAGGTGTGAATATGGGTATGAATATTCTGTTTATGTCAGGTGACCTGTCCTAGTTGTACCCCCCCTCTTAGGCTCTTTTATCAGTTGGTATTGCCTTCACTAGCCCTGCCACCTTTAAAGGATAAGCCATATCACACATGGATGGATCCAAGTTATTTGCCTTTGGGATTTTAGTCACGGAAGATAAAAACAGCAAATGCATCCTTTCCCTCTGTACCCATTTTTCAGTTGCTTAAATTGCTATGTGTGTATTGTCTCCTTTTGATGAATTATGTGACAGATATCCTCAACTTAATGCCACAAATACATGTCGCGTTACTTTGTCCATCAAATAGCCACAATATGTTTTTGAGCTGTGTTGTTTGACATTAGAGCCTCGCTGCAGTTGATTGAAGACTTGTTGAGATCCTGCTGGCATGCGGTGGTTTTAATGAGCAGAATAATGTATAAATGTGTCAAGTGAAAGGGATCGCCTGCGGTCGGATGGCCCTCGTGCTCTCCTTGAGAGGTGAGCTGCACTCTCAGGCTTTTCCCAGCGAGCTTTGATGTGGTTGCACAGCGGAGGCCAGGTTTTGTTATGAGTTAAAATGAGAAGGAGCTTTTGTTCTTTTTCAGAGCTTCAGTACATTTCGTTGGCAGTGACAGTTGGCAGTTTTTGTTTAAAAATGTACCGCGACAGTCGGTGTGTGTTTTTCATGAATATTCACTTTAAATTAGCACAGTATTAAAGATAGGACCTGTCTTTAGCAGATAACCCTGGTGCAGAGGCTCCGAGGTTGGAGATCCATTAGTCAAAACATCCAGACTTTGTTTCTTGGATTTGACAAGGACTCTGTAGAACGTTTTAGTTGGTTCCCGGCTGCATAGGCACCAGAGTAGAAAAACAAAGAGGGTTGTTTGAGTTGGCCCCTGAGAGTCGTTATTAAAGCTGTAAAATCTGTGACTATCGGAGAAGCCGTAGGTTGTCCAAATTGAATACGCAGTTTCTGGTTTGACAGCAGGATATGACAGAATACACTCAGCCACCATCTTGAGTTTGAAGAGGGCAGACTTGCACGGTTGTGTTCACAGTAAATGTCAGTCTTTGTGCTCACTTGGGGAAAATGAAAGTGAGGAAGATTTATTTTTGTTTTTTTTCATGAAGAACAGTGAGTGAATCATTTTTTGACATCATCTGAGTCTCACAATCCTTGTCGTTTTCTCGTAGATATTCAGTGATACTCTTTTTGCCATTTTATTAGTCAGACAAATTTATTAAATTGTTGCATGGATTCCCAAAAGGAATCTTGAAATCTGATAATGACTTTAGACTGGAGTGGCTGTGGCAAAAATAAGTTAAAACCTTGGTGTTAAAACTTGTCCTATTTTTTGAAAAAAGTTTCAGGAAAAACTAGAAGGGCTCATAGTTTTTGCATAATCCTGCTGACAAACACACAAATGGACAGGGGAAAACACATAACCCCCTTGGTGGAGGTAAAGATCTTTCCCTGGAATTATCATTTACCGAGTTGAAACCAAATATAAATCACCCTCTGAGAACAATCTAAAGTAACGTTCTTCCTAAAATATAAGGATATATTGATATATTGGCAATTCCGGTGCATCATCCTGGAACCCTTGTAATGACTTTTGTGCAGTGTGCGTGTAAGAGTGTGCGTATACGTTCGTGGACTTGTGTGAGTGGAGGTTAAACTCTGCCTTAAACTCTGCCTCGTTGTCTATTAGCAGCATTGACAGCTTAGCCAGCACATTCTGTCTCTGCCCTCTGCCTGTAATAACATGCCCTGTTACAGCCAGCCACGGCCCAGTATCAGAGTATATTGTTAGGTGATTGGAACTGGGCAAGCATGAAATGGAAGTCACGTTAATATTGATCCAAGTGTTTAACGGGGTGTTTTACCTCCGGGTGTCCTTGCTGTCTCATTTCAGGTGAGCAGCGTCTCTCAGAGCTGATTGCCCCGGGCGCAGATCTTTATGGCCCTCGCTGCTGCAGAGGCAGCAGCTTGGTGATGTGATATTAACCTTCTCCAGCTTTGTAATCAAACCTATTACACTGTAACAAATGACATCAGGGCATTAGCTCGCAAGCAGATCTGGACATTTGAATGAAGTTGTTCCGTAAAGACATGATATGCTCAGAAACAGTTATGAGGAGTGCCTAACGCTCAGATCATAGATGACATGACAGTTCCAAAAGAAATGACTGAAATCATCTCGATCGCCCCCTGGGGGCTGGCTGCAGTGCATGTTCATGTATACATGTATGTGTATTTGAAACGGGACGAAACATCATGAGTGACAGAGAGTGTGTACAGTCAGAAATTCGATACTGCGGCTCCATGCCACAATTACTACTGCACAAACTCTGGCTCCAAATGGAGTCAAGATGCAAGATGGCAGCACCCGTATCACAGATATTTTAGCTTCATTTTATAACCAACGTGAGGAAGTGGCGACGCAGCGTCCATCTTTATATACTATAGTGTACAGTCAATGGTCCAGATGGGGATTATTACCCTGCTCTTCATGTTTTGGTGGAGAGAAGATGTGGTTGTTTGTAACCTCTGGCAGCGCAGTAGAAGCACACGCTGCACATCCCAGGATATTAAATAAAGATCAACCCAAGAGGAAACGTCTGCGCTGTATAAACTTCCCTACATCAAAGTTATTATGTTTACTTTTACAGTCTTAAAACACGTACTCTGCAAAAGGGATGGCTTGCATCACAGGAAGTTTGGAGCTGTCATTTTTCCCCCTCATTTCATTTCTCAGCACAGAGTAAATAAAAAGCGTAGAGGCAGAGGGCAGAATTGCATCGCCCTAGCGGTAATGCAACACCGGGGACTGGACTTTTTCTCTCCATGTGGAATGCAGAGCCCATGGAGAGGGTGTGTAGGAGGACAGGATTTGAAACAGATACAGTCTGAGAAACGGAAGAGATATATTTAAAACATTTGTAGAGCTAACGGTACTTGGCTGTTGGAGTGACTGCTCAAAACACTAATGTACATTATAAGATAGTGGAGTAAATAGGCTGTGGAGCTGAGGCTTATACCAGAGCGTGTTATCTCCGGAGATCTGACAGAAGGAGACATGAGACAGAATCATTCCTGCTTAGAGTTTACAAGCTAGTTTCCAAGTGTTTGTGTAGAAAGCGGTCACAATTGCTTTGTGTCTTTACCTGTGTCCGAAATGTTAGCTATCATATCAACTGACAAACATTCAGTGACTTTTACGAGAGCTCCCTATCTGCCGTTTTCCTGCATATTATCCCGATCTTTCCTTTCTGATCAAGCCTCCTCATGAAAACCGAGGTGTCTTGTGTTTTATTTATAGTCACGTATATTGAATTACCCAGAGTATTTGTGAGATCAGCCTTTTTTTCTTTCCCCTCCTGGCTTGAAGTTCTCGTACAAGTCAAATGAACCTTAAGTAAAACACGATGTTGTGGATTTTTCTTTTTGAGGAGAGGCGGTGAGGTGGTTGAGGGCAGGGTGTATAATACATAGGAGACTTAGAAAAACACATGCTCAACTGAGGCTATAAAAATGAAAAGCCAGTGCCACAAAGCTCTCCAGCGTGAAACATGGACCCTTGGCAGCAGTATTAGAGTTGATTTTAAAGGCCTTTCAACTCTTATCTATTATACTGAATAGTAAAACTACTGCACAGTGAGGTATTTCCAAAGTGTGAGCCTTTATGAAAGATTAGGAAGATAATTTGAATTGGGCCTCAGTTTGTTCACAAAAGAACACTTCTACTCAATTTCATTTATTTTCCACTCTAAGAAAAAATATTTCTTTGTCCTTTGTGAAACAGCCGCATTGTTCATTATAATGGTGAAGACCCAGTGAAATTTATACTTTCACTGTCTAGAAAACTGTAGCCATTGATTTTAAAAACATATTCTCTCCCCTCATCATCAAAACAAACTGCGTTTATTGCCCACAGCTGACATAACAGGAATCACACCAATCCAAAAAAACAAGCCATTTAAATCCCTTTTTATACAGTTATATATTATATATTATCAAAATAAAACATACATAATCAAACATGACATTTATGGAGCTTGGTAATGTGCTCAGCACAAATAAGAGTTTCAGTAACTGCTCATATTCACTCTCATTATTAACTTTTGGACTAGGTTGAAATTGAAAATCTAAATGTATCTTGTCATCATATCAAGACCCATCAGATCATCCCTCAACCTGCGATTTGGCATTTAGATTATATTGTGTAAGGTTTCGAAATGATTTTCACTGCACCACAGTTGGCTGTTGGTACCGGTTGGTACGCAGGACTGTGGATACCAGTTGAACCCCAGCGATGAGTGCTCAGGGGCGGCCTCCCTTGGTCACAGCTGCCGCGTCTTTATCAGCCTGCGATGGGTTCAGGAAAGCTCTGCAAAGCACTTTACTGAGTGTAATTAGTGCACTGTGAGGCAGTTTCAACTCAGTGATTGAACAATGGGACCCGTGAGACTAGTGATCGGTGGCTTCTCCTGGCACTGATCCTGAAGAGCTCGAGAGCAGACGTGAAATGAAACTGCTGGGAATGTTTTTTTATGAGATGTTCAGAGGTCAGTGCCTGTGGCTTCTGATGGACTGCTTTTGCAAGGTTAATTAGATAGATACTAAGAGGTAAAGCAGCATTATATGGAGAAATAACATAGGAAATATGTTTTCCTGCCTTTAATTTAATTTATCCTAATTCATTTCATATGGAAATGCACATCTCATAGGATTTGAGAGGAATATATTTGCGCAATTGGAGGCTTCTAAACTAAAAGACACATCTTCAATTACATTTCTCTGTAGTACAGTTCAGTTCAGTGTAACCACAAAGATGATAAAAATTAAATGTAGAGTTAAAACTTCATCGTCTTTCATGAAATCCTCTGAACAAAGATTGTGTAAATCTTTCAGTATACGCTGATTAGGTATGCACACAGTATCTCCCTCGGCCCACACTTGTCTTTTGTTCTTTTTAATTTTAGGTCGCTGATGAGTCTTAGATCAAATATTCTCTTTGTTTTATTCTAATGAGTCTGCTTCGACACCACCACACAGCATGTAGGCTTCACAGTGACAAACTGCAACTCTTTCCACAACAGCACTTCTCATACAAGAATACCTCCAAGTGAACGCTCATGAGGATTTTACTTTTCACGTCATATGCCACACACTTTCATCTTCACACCATTGCTCATCATTTCTTGTTCTTTACAGCCATATTACCTCGTCTGTGAGAGGTAAATTGCATTGTGGGTAAAGGTGGTCCTCTACCCTGCACGGTTGAGCTTGTCCATTTGCGCGCAGAAATCAGCAAAGTTTATTTGGTCAGCTCAACCCTGTGCAGACCCCTGATCAGAACATCAGCCCACCTGCCGATCTTTCCCTCATGTACTCTGAGCATAATGGTGATTTACAGAATTACAGATTTAAGTTTCACTAGTTCAGCTTTGATCTCTGGCGGCTGCTTGGCTTTTTCCCTTAACATTACGCAGAATTCATTTCAGAAAACTCACAGACTTCTTCCCTCTGTCTGATGAAAGCACACCAGATATGAGACAGAGCAGGAAGCAGTTTTTTTTTTCTCAGTAGCAGTGTTGACAACAGTCAAATGTGACCTCTTCAAGACAAGGTACATGTTCCTCAGGGGAGGGAGAGGCGAATTAAGAACTGTGCTGAAAGGAAACATGTCAGACGGGTGTCAGCCACCTCCCATTTCTTGACGTGTGTTCTTCCTTTTCATACGCGCTAGTTTCTCCTCTGGTTATTTCCCACACTGGACTTCTCAAAGACAAATTCACATGAACGTTTTGAGCGGCCGTGTGGCAGGCACATGTTGGATATGGGCTGATTTAAGATGATAAATGTGTCTTGAGACCCCTTTGTTTTTCCGGATGTATGAACACATCTTTTTCAATAAACGTGCTCCTCTATAGCTATATGATGAAGTCTTGGTGTAAGTAAGCAGCCTCCTAATTGTGCTGTCTGTTCACTCTCGCTGTTGTCAAGGCTCCAAAAGCAGCAAATGATATTTCTAATCGACTACGAGCTGGAGTTGTATCCCCCGACACAGCTGTTGGTCTTTCAAGATGCAGATAGTGTTTCATTGTTGACCTTGTCTAAAAATAAAAGCTCAAACACCTCTGATGTTCAACCATGCGAAATGTATTCAGTGAGCGAATGTGTGTCGTGACATTCTTTCATGTGTTATGGCAAGTACATTAGAGAGCATCTCATTTCAGGTTCATCCTGCATATCATTGTGTATTTCATGCAGAGATTGACTACGGTTTATTTCCTTTTCCTTATTTTGCAGGATGTTATACAGTTTAAAAGGATATAAAAGCAGATTCTATTATTTGAACTTTCCCGAACTTGGTTAGAATAAATCATTGCCTTTGTGATAATGAGGACTAGTTTGAGGTTTCAATGTATAAATGTCAGACTATAGATTTGTTGCCATATCACATGTGGCTTACATGAGTAATAACATAAATTACACAAGTGAGTGTGTTTATGAGTGTGTGTCTGTGAGCTTTAGAGGTGAAAGTGCAATATTAGTGCTCTTTCTAAATATTGCATAATTTACAGGCTCGGTCGAGGATGAGGTTGTCCGGTCTAAGAAGTCCGTCCGCATCCAAACCGTGTCGAACCAGAACCCGGAGACGGAGCTGATGCTCGATGGAGACGATGATGCTGTCAGCCTGCTGCAGGAGAAGGAGATGGACAACATGGGGGGTAAGTCTGCACACCAGCGCCTCCATCTATCCCCAACGTGGCCTCTGCTCGAGCAAAAGCACTCGCCTTTTATCTCTTTTCTTCCTAACAGCAAAATTACTGTATACAGGAACACTGTATCCATCAGTACAGCCCAGCAAGATTATTAATATTTGATAGTAGTTGTATTTAGTTTTTAATATTTGATGTATGTGAGGTGTGAGTTTACTGGTGTGCTCCTGCAGTTCGGATCCGGATAACTCTGCTGAGGTTTGACAGCTGCATTTTAGTTTTGGTCTGATCAGTGTCCCTCTCTGTTTTGTTTTGGGTCTTTTCAGCACTGTTCCTTCCTCGTGTGTTTATCTCCAGAGGCAAGTCTCCTAAAGTTAAACTAACACCGGAAAGATGATCAGTCCAGATATGTCACAACTCATATTTAGGATTTCCCAAGAAACCAATGATTAAACTATTTGCTGATTCTTAACTTTACTTTGGCCTTCAGCACTGGGATGACACCATTCAAAGTATTTCTAAATAGACTTTGTCGTGTTTAGATCATGTTGTTAAACTTATTTAATAAGTCATGCTGCAACATTTCTGTGTAATGAAAATGCCTTTGCCCTATATGGCAGGTATATTCTATTCTAATAAGGCCATAGTAAAGTGTCACTTACCGTAATCAAAGTGATCAAACAACAACTCTTCTAATCTTCTACAAATCTCTTGATGATACAGATTAAACATTTTCAGAACTCTGTATTCACACACACATTCAAACATGTGCATCTCCCAAACAAGTTTAGTTAACATGACCAATAAATGAATTCTTTAATATTATGAATTATTGAGGTCAATTTAACTGTATAAATTCATTTCCCAGAACATATAATCCATTCCACTGGTAATATAAAACCACAACACATAACTTTTCTCAGTAAAATTAATAAAATGTGTCACATTTTTACTTCCAAAGAAAATCACTCTTAATGTGTATTTTCTTTGTGGATGTGAGCAAACAACAAGTTAATTATTCTGCTGGTAAACTAACCATCCTTCTCTCAACAGTGGACAATCGCTAAGAGATGAATTGACCTTAATAGCTGTGGAAAGACAAATACAATATTGTGATTGTTTTTCTATCCAGTGTCTTAAATCAGCTTTAATACTCAGCTTTAATACTCAGCAACCATCACCTTGGCGATGTTTGCCTAAACCTGAACCTGAACCTTTTGTAATGAAACCAGCATCATGCTGTGAGTTTGAGCCAAAGGATCAAGCCAACATTGAGCTGCTTTAGAAAGTAAGTTATCCAGAGTTCAGTTGTGTTTTGATTTTTGAGGAGAAATCAAGAAAGCTGCAACTTGTCATCAAAGCCAAACCTTCACTTAACACCTCATACAAACAGTGGTTTAAAGATGGTCATGATCAATTTTACAATGGTATAAATATTTCCTAAAATATAGTGACATAGATGATATATCAAGAAATAAATCAACATCTTTGAGAATTTGTGAATCTGGACCATTGCTTTTTACAGGAAAGTTTTATTTTATATATTTGTATCTATATTTGTTATTAACATGCACACACACACACACACACACACACACACACACATATATATATATGTATATATATATATGTATACAGTATATTAGAGATTTAGTTACTAGATTATGCCAGTAATATAATATAAGTAAAATAATTCAGTGTAGAGGGAAAGTGGAATTGTTTTTTGACGTCTGTAAAATTACCCAATGTGCAGGATCAGGGCTGCCACTGACTTGCTTGTTAACAGTATGAATGTGCTGTATGTGTGTAATAGATTCATTCCAGGTGCAGCATTTATGAAAATGTGCCTCTATAGATTCCCAGACACTTATATATTTATCTCTGTTTCATAGCCCTGCGTATATAACCAAGTTATCCTGGCTCAGTAAATGAGGCTCAGGCTGAACAAGGACACTGCTGAGCAGAGACATATCCCCTCTCATGATCCCACAGATGAATCTCATAGGAAGATGCGATAGCCCCTCCTCTTTGTCCCAGGGCCAGCAGGCGGCCAAACGCTGTCTGTCAGACGCACTGCCCGATCAAAAGAGCAGGACAAGGGCGAAAACACAAGAAGAGTCTATTCTCCTCACAGATCTGAGAACGTCCTTGTACAAAACAGCAATGCCGAGATGGAATATTTGTGGTGTGTTTACGACGTTTACGCATGTTAGAAATTATGAGGCAAACATTGAGAAATATCCATCTTTTTTTGTGAGTTGAAGTCATGTTCTCACCAACAGGGGAGCTGCCTCACACTGTAACATTTGGATAATGTTTTTACCAGGGCGCCCTGTCAGTGTTTGACCAGTATCCAATCACAGGCATGAGCAGCCTTAATGAGAGATCTGGGACGGGATCCTTGTCAACAACAGTCTTCCTCCTGCCAGCCACTGGGTCACTGCCTGCTGCTTCTGCCGCTGCCAAAGGGGAGGCGCCTGCACTCAAGGGCCCGAGCAGTTGTGGTTACTGAACCTATGATTAGCTTTGCTCCCCCACAAACATTAGAAATGCTGCCCATGTTAGCATTAAATAAGCCTTTCTCTATGAATGTATTATAACCAAAATTGGATAAAATGGAAGCGTAAGATGAGCATGTGAGCAGCTCACAATTTCTCAAAGATGAGGTGGTACATTTGACTGTTCTGCTGGCAGAATGTTAGTACACCCCGAAGTGTGGTTTAGCAGCCACAGCCATTTTGTTCTCGCTTAATTTATCCTTTCTCTGTCCATTTTAGTCCCCACTGACATGTTTATAAAAGACTGAAACCAACACAACATTTCTCAGTGTGTAATCTCAGGCGAAGAAAGTGAGGAAGACTGTGTGTATTAGCCGGCCTTACGCAAAACAAACTTAATATCTAAAAAGTTTTGTGTTTTTTGTTTTTACTTTTGAATTAATTCAATTAATTCAGTTTTTATACAAATGTGTACAAGCAGAATATAATATAAACAGAATAAGGATGAGATAAATTGATAATAAACAAAAGGACTAATTAGACTTATCTGTATACTTAAGTATTTGTGTATTTTTTTTATTTGAGTAGTGCAATTTTTATTCCTCGAGACTTTAACATGCAGGTCCGTGTTTTATGTTATACGTTGAAAGAGAAATTATTGCAAACAGTGAGATACTCCGCCCTGAGTACATTATAATGACGTGTGTGTGTGTGTATGTATATTTGAGTGATGGTGCTCAGGTGTAGCATAGTGACCCACTTCCTCTTACATTTCTCTCATAATGTAAAGAGACTGGGCTCAATCAAACACTACAGTCCAGCCGATGGATTGTGGGTAAAAACCCTACCATCGTCTCAGCACTTCTCCCAAACTCCCACTACACCAAAATGAGACTTCATTACACCAGCCAGTCATGTAACAAATATTTGCATTTTCCATTATAAAACAAACCTGTAGTCTATATACACCACTCATATTGTGTAACTTGGCCTTAATTTCATTCTTCTCATGTAAACAATTTAATGCCATACAGCCTAATTATGGGAAGATCCCTGAGGGGATTACTGCCTAATCCTCTTCCTCCCTATAGAGCAATGGATGCTGTGGTTTAACACTGAGGGCTGCGGTGTCTTTCTCCACGTGGAGCTCAGTATAGGGCCGCAGCACTATTCATCAGTTCAGGACGAGTTGGAGGTGAATGAGTTTGTAATTTAGAGGCTGAGACATGAAGAGAATTGTATTTCATTACAGCCCAAACAACAAAAGGATCAGTTGTCAGAAATAATAATAATTTTTAATGATGTGCATTTTTTTATTTAGTTTTACTTTTTCAAATATACTGCAGGTTATCTGAAATAAAACAGCATGAGTTTACTGCAGGTATATACTCCTCATATGGAGCTTGTAAGCACCGTGTATTGGCTGCAGGCAGATAGCATCAGCAGATAGGATCACTGTTAATGGACTCGAGCTGAGGAGAAAGAATAAAACAGGGAGGGCGGTTTGACTGTGCAGCTCCAAGAGCGATGAAGGGGCGCTCTGGGACCGAAATCCACTTGTATTCCTGTAACACTATCGGCCATAATTGGCTGAGGAGCGCAGATTAAGATTGATGAGACATTAAAGTGGCTCTTTGGAGTTTAGGGCGGATCGATAAATATCCTGATGTTTTTTTTCGAGAGCCAGTCGCTCACATGCAGACAGATCACTGCTCCACAGCGACACTGATGTGAGAACATGGTGGATGAAGAGGTGCAGAGGGAGGAGACTGAAATGAAGATGTGATCACTATCAGCTGACCAGGGTCACACACAAACACACAGTAAAACAACATCTGGAGTAATAGGAGGACTTAAAACATGCTTGTACTATTGTATTTGTGCGTGTGTATAGGATGTAATACTTGTATGTATTGTAGTATTATTATTATATTCTGAGCCCACGTGCAGACCCTCCATGTTAACACATCCCTGAATATCACTATCGATAGATTATAGTGATATAGGCTCTTCCCATGCGAGAATAATATGGAATTAATTTAGCCAATTTTATATAAATTTACTAAACATTTAATTTGTTAATATTTCTGATTATTTGTGTGTCAATCACACAAGGTTATCATCACACAAACATTTAGGATTCCTATGTTTTGATGCTTCTTCATCCAGGCCCGGTTAATCCAGATTATTATGCGCATAAACCAAAGAACGTTCCAAAACCTTTGTTTGGTGAAAAATACACTACTACTACAAAAATAAAGAAAAATAACGGGATAGTTGTCACAATGCAGAATATATGACCGAATTGTAGTCATTCATTTTAATTATCCAATGTTTATAAACGCAGGATGTAGCCTATAATTTATCTTTACGCACGTATAGTGGTGTTGTGTGACACAGACAGGCCGCTGCAGGCATCGTGATACCACCTGTAATCGCATGTATCACTGTTAACCTCAGAGTTAGGAAACATTTCTATCTTTTTAACATGCTGATGGATCATGCGTCTCTGCTCTGATCTGCAGGCCCCGTGGTTCTGAGCAGCCCGGCCCAGCTCGTCGCCCCTGTCCTGGTGGCCCGGGGGACTCTGTCCATCACCACCACTGAGATCTACTTTGAGGTGGACGAGGATGACCCTGCCTTCAAGAGGGTCGACCCAAAGGTGGGTAACAGGCATCAGTGCGTGCAGCTTAAGTAAAAAAAACTCGCAGTTTGGTTTCCGACATGTTTCACCGTTTTATCTCATTGCAACAGGTAATAAACAGTCACCGTATTTTACGCATTTGTTGATAATAGCCTGTAATAAATATGAGCGGATTTGCGCGTCAGTCACTGCTCTGTTTTGCTTTGTCGTGTTATTAAATTGACGCCATATACTCTTTGTAAATCATTACGGCTAATTTCTATTTTATGTGTTTCAATTACCCGTTTTATGTATGCATTCGTAAAAAAACCCTATAATGACCTCTGAGGCCTATATACTATCATGCTGGGTCAGCCATCAAACAGCCACGATAGATTATCCAATTTATGCAGCATAACTGGTTGTGAACATAATTTTAAAAAAATAATAATCATAAATGCGGATATTTTGCACAGGAGATTGAGGTTTTGAAAATAATGACCTGCCTGGTTACAGATCTCTCAAAATGTATGTAAATGTAAAATATCTTATTCCATTTCCCCCCTATTTTCCTTCTTATGTGAGACTAGACCCCAAAGTTAAAAATGTCATTAAATTAATTAGGCCTACTTTACTTCCATCAAAACCACAGTTAATAAAAGCATAATGGGACACAATTATAAAACAGCTCGTTTTATTAGCTCTTTAAATTAGACCAAAGACAGAAATAAAAAAAATCAGATCACAGATGTTATAATCCAGTGTATTTCAAGTGCATTTTTTTCAATTAAACTGTAATATATATATATACTATATCTGTTATCATTTTCATTTTTTTTATCATGTAGGCCTAAGCATGGTAGAAAAAAAACAACTAAAAAAAATAAAAGTTGGAATACTTTTAAATAAAAATTCAAGTAAATCGATGGAATGTTCTCATTGTAACAAATGCCTTACACGCCTACCATCAAAATGTAAACTTTCAAAAATGTTAAAAGAATAAGTCCATTGAAACAGATGAGTCAGACTACCACTGATGCAAGTATAAATTAAAAACGTTCCTACCAGATAGAGAAAACAAAAAGTTCAGAAGTAGATTTAAACAGGTGGATCCTATTTACGTGTCACAGAACAACATTCACAATTTTCAGACCACTTGAATCACAATGTATGAATGTATTTACAGTATAAAATGTACAGATGTGTGTGTTTTTTAGTTTCATTTCCAAATTTGGTCTCGGGGCTTTATTTTAAAGCAAATGCAGGGTTCAGGCAAACCGTGTGGCACGGATGGAGGTGGCCTCCTGGATTAATGCTGGCCAATAATTTAAACTTGCTCCTAAATACTGACACCAACAAAAGGTGCACGGGGGAAGAATATTAATATAAACTCGACTGTTATAAAAAATCATCTTGAAACAGGCCAAAACAAATTGAATGACAAACAGGACATTTCACAAGACTTTGCCAATTGTTTGGCAATTTTTTTTCTGTCCGTTTATGAGCTCGTTTGGCCTCTTTACCACAAATTTAAAGACGAGGTGAACTGACATGTCTTTACCTCAGAGTTTCTCCAAGCTTTTGGGGTTGGTCAGTATTTCTCTCGCCAGTCGCCAAGTCTGTTTCGCTGCGTTCTCTAGCGCAGAGTGGGGCTTTCCTTGGAACAGGTCTAAATTGGGCAGGAAATAATGCGGGCACCTTCGGCACTGCAAACACGAAATAAGCTGCAATAGTATCCCGTTCAGGCGGTCACCTAGGCAGTTCTCGTCCCAGTCCGACTCCCGGGGATGCTTCTCACACTCGTAGGAAACCAAACTTTTCATGTGGTAGTTGTTCAGGGGCTGTCCGGGCAGTTCCAGGTGACGGTCGCGCAAGGCTTTGAGCACCGACAAGCATTTCTTCCTGCATCCACCCAGCAGGAGCCGGTTCTCGGCCTCGGCGAATTGCAAGACCCACGCGTCGCTCTCCGCCGAGCTCTGCTTGCCGTTCAGCGAGTAGCACTCTTTGGATAAAAGATTGAATCCCTCCGCTTTGACTTCTGCCACCCGGTTCGGCCCCGGCCACGGGATGTGAGGGAGAGGCCAGTGCGCCGCGCTCCGAGGCCAGATCCCAGTGCACTTGAACGCCGGCGTGATTTGCACCACGTATCTGTCCCGAATGCGCAACTTCACCTCACTTGTGTCAGCGACCATTTTGACCACATCTCTGTAGCTGCATTTATCCACCGCCTGCGCCACCAGCGTCTGAAATCTCGACCGGATCTTGCGCGCCGAGAGGTAACCGGAGGCGGTAATGAATTCAACCCAGAGAGACATGCTCCTCTTGCGGCCGTCGCTGAGCTTGAGCACGGCGCAGCCCGGGAGAGAGCCGTCGTCGACAAAGTTGAATACTCCCATCTGATTCAGATAGAGCACCACCTCGAACTCGGTGGGTGAAATGACCTCCAGTCCCTCGAAACGATTATCCATCTCGCTGAGGGAGCTGATGAAGCGGGGCTCCTGCACCTCCACCTCCTTCAGGACATCCGAGACCACCTTGCACACCTCCCGGATGGTCTTGGAGATGGCTGCTTTTCGAGACTGGCATTTCTCGTTGTAGTATTTATTTAGGTGGTACACCAACTTTGCCTGGGCGGCTATCATATTAGGGCAGAGATCCGGGTTATACACCGGAGTCTCGCAATAAGCCGAGGGATCCAACGCGGCAGTTTGTACGGGAGCCAATTTTAGAGAAGAAAGGTTTCTATTTAAAAAGAAAAAGATGTCTATTTATAAGACAACTACTCAAAACTGTGCTCGGAGCACGTGCGTAATGATCATATCACAACATGCGCAGATGTGGCTCGGTAAACTGCATTGAAGTGCTCTTAGCAAGTCCTCTGAACAACCAGGCTGGTCAGATTAAAAGTCCATTTCAACCCTGTGACGTTCAGTAGCTGGAATAAAAAAAAGCCTCTTCTCCTTCTCTGATCACTGTGCCAGTTAAGGGTCCGCGTAATTGCGCAGAGTGGAGTGTGCGCTCCTGACGCAGCCGTCCGGTGTTGCTGTGTTTTACGACAGGGACACACACACTTTATTATAAGGGAGGAGTTGAAGCCAAGATGTCCAATCGCCGTGTGATGCGTCACCACTTCCCAGTTTATCGAAAACAAATTCATCCTTGGGTGTTATATACAAGCAATAAAGTACAGGTAGTAGTAGTATATCGAGGAGCGGAAGTAACACCTACGCATTTGGAGAGAGGAAAAAACAAAACAGCATTTTCTCTGCGTTCCATTTCTTTTCCTTGGACTTTACCTGCTGCTTTTTTTTAATAGTCCGCTATATTGAATCGTATATAAAACAGTAGGTGGGTTGTCGATGCATTTATGTCTGCGGATAATAAAACATTTAAATTTCCAATAGCATTTTAATCTTTATTGTTTCCCTGCAACGAATCCAACTCCTTCCACTTTAGACGCGTCAGATAAAGAGAGTAATTTAGGGAGTTTTAGTCACGAAGAGTATATTTGTATTTTGTAAATTGGGTTTGGCTTATTTGTGGGTTTGGTTTTTGAAGCTTTAATGAGATGATCGTGATTTAGTTTATCAATTAAACCTTTTCCGGCTCTTTTGAAATTATTGAACAGTCTAGTCAGGTCTGTTGCCGAACTATGGAAAAGTTATGGCGCTCTTTCTATTTAGCATTGTGATTGTCTTTGACACATTCATTCTCGTGGCTGTGATGCATGTGAGTGTGTGTGTTATCCTGCAGATTGAGAAGGCAGAGGCTATTTGTTCTGCTCTTATTGTGCGGGAACAGCCTGTACTGTGCTGCGCAATGCTTCCATGCGCCATGTATTTTAGCCGTTTAATTAATGGAGGTTATATTGAAAGACAAAACACCTTTGATATTCATGCAAAAAGTAGCTTATATTACCATTACTAAAAGTTGTTATGAATTTATTTTGTTGTGTTCATGTGACAGAAAAAATAGAATAATGTGCCTCAGAGAGAATGTGTCCATCTGTGCTCTTATAATTGTTTTATATTTAAAAATACTAATTATTATTTTAATAAATGTTCCACATTGTTAAAATTAAGACACTATCATACACTGGCATTGTACATAATTCTATCAGTCATAATGGTAAATATATGTGAACATAATTATAGCAATAACAAAACAATAATGAATAGAAAAATACAAAATAAGATAAATAAGATAAAAAAAATATTTAATTGCTAATAATTCTAAAAATATATCTATTGACGTGCTAGACCATGTTATATAAGGATGATGTGTTAGCCACAGCTTTGTTGATGTGACACAGTGATTCACAATAAAGAGATCTTGCCTCCACACTAAACCCTCTCCGGCTCTCATCATTCCACTGGCACTCCGTCTCTAAAGGTACAGTGTACGCTTTGAAGAGGACTTCAAAAAGATAATGCTGCACGGATCAGATAAGGAACACAAAGGCGTTTACACTCATCTCTGCTCTCGTCACAACTGCACACGACCAGACATTATGGGGGCAAACCGCCACTCATCAGCTCTGACTTTCACTACATGGATGCGTCTGAGCGGGAGGTGGCGTGTTTGGGAAGGACCCTGATAGATAGGTGACTCCCATTATCACATATATAGTCACAGCCTGCCATGGACACACTGCCAGCAGCCTGTTTGCAAGCCCCGGTGATATTTTCACACTGTTACCAGGCAGAAATTACAGATATAGAGCAGCATCCTTTGTTTTTCATAAATCTAATTTTGGATAGTGGCTTGTATAAAGGCTCATTCTGTAATAAAATTATGCAATTAGCTCTATTCTCTCACTGGTATATATTTGTGGAGGATGTGGAGTACGGCATGGACAATGTCATGTGGTGAGAGGTAATAAGAAAAAAAGCCTCTTCCACTCCCTGGCTTTGATAGTGTTTTCTCTCACTCTCTCCCACTGTCTGTGGCCCAGCAGGTACTTGCCTCTTATTGAAACCAGACTGGCCTCACTTTCCAGGCCATCTTGCTGCGAGTCAGATAGGTCTGAATCCAGTTGC